AAAAAAATAAAAATACTATACAACTATGTACAAAAGTGTTTTAGAATGACAAAACTCCTGCTGGGCAAGATGTGCAAAAGGTATGGATTAGGGGATGTGCAAAAGATCACAGTATAGACAATATCTGTCATGTGCAGGGATAATACCTCAAGGTGTTGATGTAATGTGGTTGATTGCTGAGGCCAGATGCAGAAGAAAAGGCTGGTGCTGGTCCATCATTGGTGAAGATTAGACTGGACTTCTGGTCCTGAGACAGACAAACATGTGATAGGACAATTCCTTTAGATCATACCAGTTCTTTATATTCAAACATGTCAGGTCTGTTGTGTGTGTATAATAAATTGTGAGGATAGATATGAATATGCAAAAATAAATACAGTATGAATATTATGACATGTAAACACAAGGAAAAGAAGGGTAAACAACTAGAGGTGTGATAAGAATTCAATGTACACACACACACACACACACACAAACACACACACACACTATATATATAACCAACAAATATGGATATAGTTAACGTCGATTAAATTCACCTTTTTATTGGGCTTTGACTGAACACCTCCACGGGCTAACCCAGGTTGACACAGGTTATCAGCTAACGCTAGCACTAGCTGGCTAGCTTGGTTAGCAAGGTGCATCCTCACCTGAACTGTGACATTAACAGCGATGCTAATTTTGGCTAGCAAAGAAACAGGCTTAAAACAAAATGTACTTACCGGAAATAATTGAACCGCCGACTCCTCTGAGTGTCTTTGAGAACAACTGAACACTGAACAAGACATTTACCGGTAAACAACATGTTGGAGCTAACTTTGATGAATTGAAAACATAACAAGTCACATGTCCGACACATCTCTCTGACGTCATATGCGGATTAACAGGCAGGTCCTTCTGCGTGTCAATGACGCGGTAGCCACGCCCTAAAGCCACTCTGCTTTAACGTCTATTTTCTTTTAAATAGGACCATAATTTAAAAAATGAACATCATGTTGTTTTGAAGAAAACTTCAAACTAGAGATTCAGACCATAAACACACAACGAATCAAATCTGAAAGTACGTGTTGAGTGGGAGTGCTGCTGCTGGTGTCTGTACTCCGCACTGCTACTCGGTCTCCTGTTTCCTGGATCATTTTATATCTGATAAATTCTTATTTGAGGGAATTTGAGTTGTAAGGGTTTTAATGGAGAACTGGAATATTAGGAAAGGTCGGACCGGAATCTGTTTTGGTCACCTAGAGAAGTTAAGTGAAATTTATATCCTGCAAAAATATCAGGTAAAGAAAACATTTACTCTCGTTGTTTTTGGTGACGTTGTTTGTGTTCGTATCGTTATTTCGAATTAACAAAAGATATAGAGCGGCAATAAACTGGCGATGAGACACTGCAGTGACGTCAGCAGGTAAACGGTCATCTCATGCTGTAATGAAAGAGTGACGTACTCTGAGTAAAACGTGTTACTGCGTGCACATTTTTAAAAGGGGAAGAGGAGGGTAAAACATCTTATCATGGGGATGATAATAATAATTATGATAAAAGTATTAACAAAACATCTTTAGGCTGCGGGGAGCCAGTATCAGTTCCAGGTGAAAACAGCACCAAGAGCAATCAGTTCATTCCAGTCAGGCTCTTTGCAGCCTGTGCACACAGCTGAATAATTATTAATGTACAACCAGTTGACAATTTATTAGGAACATCTTGCTAAAACTGATAAAGTTAATACAACAGCCCTGTAATAAATCATACTTCTATGAAGATTATACTGTTTATACAGGTGTTTCTGTTATTAGCTATTTTGTTGATATAAATGGGTTGGACAAAATAATAGAAACTTAAAGCCATTGGTGAGTGGTCTTTTATGTAGGCAGTAGTTTTTTGTTGGCACGGTTCAGAATATTTCTGTCTCTATGATTACTAATAAATCGAAATCAAGCCCTGAAAAATCTGTTGATCCCTATTGCTGTTAGTCAATATTAGGCTGATTTGTGTCCTTGATATCAATTAATGTGTTATTCAGTTAATACCAAGCAATACACCATGAATGAAGGACATACAAGTTTATGTTAAGTTCTCTCTGTGCTTCTATACAGTAACATAATATATACAGTTCATCATACTGTCTTGCCATTTAATTAAAAAATCCTAATAGTAACATATTACTCTGATCATAGGTGCTATCTTCATCTCTAATGTGGCGTTCCTTAACTAGTATGAAATTAAGTACAATAAAGTATTTGATAAAATGACCACTCTGTCTCTTTCCAGTCTGCTGAGATCAACAACTGCCGGGTGAGGATGCTGTGATGCTTGTGGGGATTATATATAGTATCAAAAAATTAAGGCCTTCCTTCAGCCTTGCAGGTAGCACTCTTCCAAACACACATATTTACACCTGATTATAAACTGATTGATTTCCTCACTGGTGTTAAATATCTTTGGTTTGATCTCAGTGAATGTGAACATTGATGTGTGTAGGGCAGATGGCCGTCACTGTACTAGACCACCCTCCTGAGAAGTATGGTGTGCAGTTACTGATGTCAACAGCATGGAAGTTATTGTAAGAAGCATGTCAAATATTCAAGTTAACAGCTCTGAGATATAACTGATATTTGTTGGATGGTCCAACTGTATTTAACACGCCAAGGACCCACACGATACATCACCTGTGAGATCATGATAATGCTGAAGAAGCAGGAGTGACAATACATCACCAGGTGGTGGGAAACAGAATGAAGTGTTTCTGGTTTCAAAGCACCGTCCTCCAGCTTTTAAGAAATGGAAGATCTTTAGTTTGGTTTAAAAGAACACATTGATGGGGAGGGTCTCAAGATCAGCAGCTAAACTGTTCAGTGCACAGATGCTAAAAGCATCTCACTACACTTTGAAAATGCTCTAGACACATGGAGATTTCCACCATGTGATCTGCTGGGATTGTAAACTAACAGCATGTCTGAGATGTTCTGTGAAGCCAGACCAGCAGGTGCTTTGTGACCAAGAGGAGATTGTTTAAACTGTATTCTGAAAACAACAAGCAGCCAGGGAAAGTTTCAGAGGAGAGAGTTATGTGGTCAGATTTCATGGCTGGACCCGACAGCAGCACTGACTGACTGACTGACTGACTGACTGACTGACTGACGTGAACTGACTGACTGACTGACTGACTGACTGACTGACGTGACTGCACTGACTGACTGACTGAGTTGATAGAGTTGAGTTATTACTGCTTTAAACTCTTTGAGTCGCTTTGAAGCGACCTGTGAGTGAAGTCAATAGAAGCTTACACCATTGGTCTGTTGACTTGTTTTCACTGGTCTAGACTCCAGGTGTTCACAGATCAGCGGTCTCTGTTTTCTCCTGTTCAGCTGAATGAAGTTTCATGTCGTCTACTGCTTCATTTTTTCCAAGCAGCTGACAAGGGAGTGTATGAGACTCTTTCACTGGCGTAAAGCGCAACTCAAGTGTCTTTGCTAGTTTCAGACTGATGCAGTTGTTCATTTTCCCATCCAGTTCACACCTTGTTTAAATAGCCAGATGTTTAACCAACAGAAACCTGGTCTTCAGTAAATGGCACAATATTTCTCCATTATTTTAAGGGCACATTGTCACGCCACTTCCTGAGTCACTCAGCTGACCTGCGTCACACAGACTGTCCGTAGACTGACAGCAGTTCAGTGGCTGTGACTGAGGATCACCTCATACAACCCCACGTCAAACAACCTGAACTATCCCTTTAACAACAGGGCAGAACCTGAGGGACAGTCAGCAACAGAAACACACACTCAGTTGCCCTGGCAACCCATTACAAATGGTTTGTATGGGAACACTGAAATTCTAGAAGCTAGATAAATTATTTTCAAATGTGAGAGGCAGCTGTGAACGACAGAAAACCTGTTTCTATATGAACACATGAGTTTGACAGTGGTGGTGTTGGGAATCATGTTTCTGGGAAAGTGCAGGTGTGGCAACACCTGAGTGCACTGTGCTTACAATGGTGAACGCCTCACACCTGGAGCTGGATCGACGCAGCAGGAAAACTCCTCTGGACTTAAATCTCTTTTCCAGACAGAACACCTGCAGCAGGTGAACTTTGTTAGAACAAGAAATGATTAGAACAATAAAATCTGGTTCTATCAGTTAGTGACACATTAGTTTTCAGGCTTCGACTGCTCCTGCTGGGGCAAAGTAACAACTACTTTAATCTAATTCTCCACTTGTTCTTCTGAGTAAGGGTTTCTGTATTTAGTATTATTAATATTATTATCAGCCTTAATGAGTAAAAGTCCTGGTATGATAAACAGCAATGACAACAATACAGAGAAAGAAACAGTATAAACATTGAGATTAATGACTTTACTTTATGATCATTAATCTATAGTTTTGTCTCTGACTGTACGTGGTGACTCCACCTCTCCTCCTCCTGTCTCTCTAAACAAAAGGCAAAGTCATCAAAGACAGTTTGAAGAGATTTTAATGCTCAACAAATTTATTAAACATCTTCTACAAAAACACGTCATAGAAAATTATTTCACTTTGTCACGACTGTGTGGACGATCGAGAGAGAGAGAGACAGAAAGACAGGGAGAGAGAGAGAGACAGAGAGAGAGAGACAGAAAGACAGGGAGAGAGAGAGAGACAGAGAGAGAGAGACAGAGAGAGACAGAGAGATCCTCTGGTCTTGGAGGTTCTGAATGTGTTTGGTTTTTGTGCGTGGAGCAGAAGAAGAAGAGTGAAGCAGCAGGTGAACAGCTCCACCTGCTGGACACACACACCCTCATTACACAGCATTCATACAACACACACACACACACACACACACACACACACACACACACACACACACACACACACACACACACACACACACACACACACACACACCCCATCATCATGTGTGTCATCATCACTCCAATCTTTCTGGAAAATGAAAATGATAAAATCCCTCAAGATGTTTGTTTTTCTGTTTTTCATCTTGAAGTAAACAAACAAACAAACAAACAAAAAGAGAGACAGAGAGAGAGAGAGACAGAGAGAGAGAGACAAAGACAGACACAGAGAGACAGAGAGAGAACAGCTGATGACGTCCGCTTCAGTCGTCTATTCATTTAAAACTTTTCTTATTAAAAACAGAGAAATGAAAAGTTTTGATTTTCCAGGATGATGGAGTGAGAGAATAATGACGACACACTGACCTGTCTCCCCCCACCCTCCTCCCCCCCTCACCACTCCTTCTTCTTCTCATCCATAGAGACCCCCCCGGGCCCCAGGGCCACCACCAGCAGCAGGCCCCCGATCACCGACGTGGTCTGGAAGAAGTCGTACTTGAGGAAGTCGTGCATGGGTTTGTAGGAGGGGACGCTCCAGAAGGCGTTGAAGGTGAAGTTGATGCAGAGCAGCCAGGCCACCAGAGTCAGAGCCGCCAGCTTGGTCTTAAAGCCCACCGCCACCAGGACCATCAGCGCCGTGCCCACCAGGTTCTGCAGGATCTGAAACCCAGGGCAGAGGATGACAACGTGGTTCCAAACAGAACCGGGAGAGTAACGTAGTAGTAGAAATGTAGTGTAGTTTAGTGTAGCATAGCATAGTGAACTGTAGTATTGTGTTACATAGTGTACACTATAGTGTAGCGTAGCATAGCATAGTGTAGCATAGTGTACTGTAGTATTGTGTAGCGTATCTTAGTGTACTGTAGCACAGTGTAGCGTAGCTTAGTGTACTGTAGCTTAGTGTACTGTAGCACAGTGTAGCGTAGCTTAGTGTACTGTAGCACAGTGTAGCGTAGCACAGTGTAGCGTAGCATAGTGTAGCGTAGCTTAGTGTACTGTAGCACAGTGTAGCGTAGCTTAGTGTACTGTAGCACAGTGTAGCGTAGCATAGTGCAGCGTAGCTTAGTGTACTGTAGCACAGTGTAGCGTAGCACAGTGTAGCGTAGCTTAGTGTACTGTAGCACAGTGTAGCGTAGCATAGTGCAGCGTAGCTTAGTGTATTGTAGTATAGTGCAGCGTAGCTTAGTGTACTGTAGCACAGTGTAGCGTAGCATAGTGTAGCGTAGCTTAGTGTACTGTAGTATTGTGTAGTGTAGTGTAGTGCAGCGTAGCTTAGTGTACTGTAGCACAGGGTAGCGTAGCATAGTGTAGCGTAGCTTAGTGTACTGTAGTATAGTGCAGCATAGCTTAGTGTACTGTAGCACAGTGTAGCATAGCATAGTGTAGCGTAGCTTAGTGTACTGTAGCTTAGTGTACGGTAGTATTGTGTAGCGTAGCTTAGTGTACTGTAGCACAGTGTAGCGTACCATAGTGTAGCGTAGCTTAGTGTACTGTAGTATTGTGTAGCGTAGCTTAGTGTACTGTAGCACAGTGTAGCGTAGCATAGTGCAGCGTAGCTTAGTGTATTGTAGTATAGTGCAGCGTAGCTTAGTGTACTGTAGCACAGTGTAGCGTAGCATAGTGTAGCGTAGCTTAGTGTACTGTAGTATTGTGTAGTGTAGTGTAGACTCACACTGAACAGGCTGAGGTCAAAGTGCAGCAGCGTCATGAACATAAGGACCAGGAGGACTCGCCCCCCCAGCTGCAGGAGGTGCTTTGGAGAACTCTGATTACCGAGGGAGGGGACTCCTGCAAACACGCTGCGAGCCTCCCCCCTGCACTCGGCCAGGAGGAGGAGGAGACCCCCCCCCAAAGACAGGTTCCTACACAGAGGAGGGGGAGGGGCAGATCACTTTAGTTTTATTTCTAGTACAAAACTTCTATTTAAAAATCTTTGTGATGAAATATTACAAATAGAATAATGTGGGGTCATTGACCTTCTACTGGACAAGTCCATGTTAAACTGCAGCATTGATCCATGCTGCATGTGAGTTCATCACAGGTCAAAGGTCACAGACTCACCTCATTAAGAACTTGAGGTCCCACAGGATGCTGTAGGCCACCGTCTGCAGGCAAGACAGGAAACAAACAGTGACTTTCACAATAAGATGGACGCCCCAGTTTCATACAACACAACAAAACAGTAAACAGTCAGTTACAAGAAATCAATCAATTTAAATTCAAATCAATTAATTCAACTGAATCTCGTTCAGTGAGCGTGTGAGAGCGTCAGTGATGAAATATCTGTGTGGAATAAATTTAACACATTTAGAATAAAGAGGCAGATGTATTCGGATTTTTGTCTAATTTGTAGTTGATTATTTTCACCAAGTTTATGACAGTTTTACATTTTTACTGCTGGGAATATAATAAATAATAATTATAATTAATTCATTAGAAAAAAATGTAATTCTTGTCTTGCACTACAAATGTCTGTTTATGTAAACTTCAACATCCTGAGGGACGAGGAGACGAGCTGAGACTGAAGCAACTCATGGTGTTAATGATGTCACATTAATGATGTCACATTCACACTGAAAGATGAAGCAGGAAGATCTCAGCGTTCACCACAGACAAGCTTTGATTCAGCTAAACTAAACTGGAGGTTAAAGGTCTGTGTCCATGTGTAGTGTGATTATAGATCAGCTCTAGCTTCTATATTAATACTGTGAAAGTATCAAAGCCTCAGTCCACAGAGAAATGCACACAGCCTGTATTCAGAAACTGAGCCTTAAAACCAGCCGTCAGGACTTCTGGAACTTTGTGATGTCACAACAAAGCAGTCACCAAGCCCCGCCCACCTGGACCCACCATCCAAACCTTGCAGGATTTGGTTTCTCTGAGTGTTTTTACCTGAAATCTGCTTTATTTTTATTGGATCACTCAGAAAACAGTCAGCCAATCAGAAGAGAGGCTCAGAGCCTCCTCTCTTCTGATTGGCTCACCGACCTGTTGTTACTAGAGCTCCAGAGAGAAGCCTGAGAGAGGAGATGTAAAACTACACTGAGATGGTTTTTATATCTTCTCACGGATCAACACTTCAAAACAAAATGTTGAGCTGTATAAGCAGACATGTTGAAGTGGACTCAGGTGTGTCAGGTTTACCTGCAGGGCGATGACCCCAAACAGAGCGAAGCAGGCGTTCTGAACAAAGTTTCTGCTGAGGATCAGCACACAGCCTCCTGCAGACACACACACACATTTCAAACAACAACTTTAATGTTTCACACGTTGAAGTCCGTCAGTAACATCTCAATCAAAACAATAAGAAAAGAGGGTGTGGGGTAACGTCATGAAACAGCGTGGGATCATGGGAGTTGTCGTCTCCTCCCGGTTTGGATTCCTTCAGTGTCAGTGGTTCAGGAAATCAAACAGACCCGCAGTTTCACTTCAACAATCAGAGACTGACGGACGCTCCTCAGGGACACAGGACAGGACGTCTCCAGTGGACAGAGGACAGGATGATATGATGTCATCAACAGGCGACCAATGAAAGGTTAGCATGATTAAAATGGATGATGATGTGATGATGTAAGAATACAACATGTAGAACACAGGTCCAGATGTTGGTGTGTGAGGAGTGTAACCGTGATACAAACGTGTGTGTGTGTGTGTGTGTGTGTGTGTGTGTGTGTGTGTATATGTGTGTGTGTGTGTGTGTGTGTATTACCCAGCTGTCCCAGCAGGTTGAGCAGGACGAAGATGTTGGCGAGGAAGCGTCCACAGCTCCAGGTGGAGTCAATGTACTCGCTCTGCTCCGCCCACTGAAACCACATCCTGACCCCGTCCTCCAGGAAAGTGCTGACAAGACACAGCCGGGCCACATGGGGGAGGTAGTGCTTGGTGACCCGGAGGAACTACAGCGAGGGGGGGGGGGGGAAAGACAGGGGATTAATCCTCTGTTAGCTCCTCCTCCTCCTCCTCCTCCTCACAGGTTCAGTTTGACTTTGGACACAGGAAACACTGCGCTGCTGTGATGACCAGCCTCAGTCACATCTGGATTATTAACTGGACAAAGTGATCAGCTGATCAGAGCTAGTGATCAGTCATCATATGATTGATCTGATGGTTTCAGTCATTTCTTCAGCAGAAACTCAGACACTTGATTGAATTTGCAGATTTCCTTGTGTCACGTGATGAAGTCGGACGAGGGATTTGCTGACGTCACTTCACTCTGGGACAGGTTTGTGTTCATCAGGTATGAAGCTCCACGGTGCAGCAGCAGACGACAGGTGAGGTCAGAGGCAGAGCCCCGCACAGACACATCGCTGTTACTTTACTGACTGACTCCACCCACATCTGTCAAAACATTGATTTTGATTGAGTGTGATTGGATGGAAGCTGCAGCCGATCAATTATATTATCAGTTAGCTGTAGCGCTGGTGTGCAAACCTCAGAGGGACGTCACACAGCTCATCATTCACCTGTGATCCAGCAGCAGAGGTGATAAGATAAAATGAACCTCCAGAGGAAAGTCAAACTCACACAGCAGCAACAAGGGAACAATATAATAAAGAAATAAAATAAGAACAGAAACAGAATCTCAAATAAATAAGATTCATTAGAAATAATATATATAATAACATAAAATGCAAGTAGGCATTTTTGTACACACACCTCGTAATAAAGAGTTTGGTGGTTGATGCAGTTTGTCCGGGATCTACTGTTTTATACAGATGTGAGTTCTTAGACTGTGGTGGCCCCTTAACTCTCAATTAATGATGCAATTAATTAATCATTTTAATTGCCAGTTAATCTGCAGATCATTTTGCCGTTTAATCGACTCATCGTTTGGTCTGAAAACAGTCATGACACGTTTGTTTTATTCTGACCATCAGTCCAACACCCACAATATTCAGAACAGCCGCCGATTAATTACAGGTGCCATCGATTAATGGACTCATTGATTAATTTTTCCACTGCTGCACTGAAAACACTTTGAGACAAAATCACGGATCCATGTGAGAAGTTTCCTGACTGTTTTAGTGACATCAACACATGGTATTGAATGACAGCTGATCTGCTCTGACGCTAAAAGAAATGATCGTTTTCACTCTGAAGTCTGGTTTCATCAGCTGACAGCCACAAACATCCCGGACAAACACACAGAGGTGATTTAAATGAGGTGTAATGAT